CTGGAACTGGAGTTAAGGACAGTTCATAGCCACCATGTGGGTGCTGGGAATCAAACCCGGGTCCTCTGCAAGAGCAGTCAGTGTTCTTAACCACTGAGCCGAGATCTTAACCTTTTTAACTTGTCATTTTTATTAGAATCCTCAAAATTTCTTGTACATAAATATTAAATTTAGGGGACAGTAAACAGTGATGGCATAATTTCATTTTGAGAAATATAACCAATATTCTCTATAGTCATAACCTATTTGTATATACCTTCCAACCTGACAGATGTACAAAGCCACAGATTAAAGGACTCTTAAAAGTTGCTTGAAGTGTCTTAAAGGTCTCAATCCACAGTCCACATGACAATAAGAATGGACTTAAATATCTGTGTCTGATGCTGCAAGGTTTAGGTTAGACACAGAAATAGCATAATCTCACCTGAAACCTTTTTCCTAGGCCAAGTGCTCAGTGGATTGGTGTGTTTATAATGTATGGATACGGGCTTTTAGATGACCAGGCTGGGAAACATGTTTCAGAACTCTGTACATGGAGTGTCATGCCCCTTTACTACCCAATCTCAGGGTTAAGATCAAGGATGAACCCCTCAAAGTTCTGCCAACCAGCTATCATCACATTGTGCTCAAGTGCTCTCGTTCACCTCCAAGAAGGATTCTCAGCATTGCCAATCACTCCTTCACCAGCACAGATTTGTTGGACTGACTCCTTTGTGCCCAAAGCCTTTTGTGCAGAAATATAACATGTTTCTAAATAGAAATTTTATTATTACATACTCCAGGTGCCCCAGAAAAACTAAATGAAAATAAAAGAGGACATGGATATCTTCAAATATTTCAGAATATCACTAAACTTGGACCATTCACCACTCATACAACCTCAGCTAAGTTACCTCTGATTATCATTCAGGATGCTTATCAATATGTGCCCTCCTTCCTGGTCCATGTTAGGATGATATTTCTGACCTTTCTGTTGAACCCAATATGAGTGTGCTATGTGACTGGCTTTGCCTCCTCACCACATTCATGTCTTCCCCTGCCACAGTGATCAATGCATGTGTGTGTGTGTGTGTGTGTGTGTGTGTGTGTGTGTGTGTGTGTCCTTTCTATCAGGCTTAATCCCTGAATAAAGAAAATGATGATGGGGCTGGACAGATGGCTCTGTGGTTAAGAGTGCTAATTGCTCTTGTAAAGGACCTGGATTTAAGTCCAAACACCCCCATAGTGCCTCACAACCCTCTGTAACTCCAGCTCCAGGGGATCTGACCCCCTCTTTTGGCCTCCACAGGCACTGTGATCACAGAGTGCACATAAATACATGTAGACAAAGCACTCACACACAAAACAAATCTTTTTTTTAAAAAGAAGACAATGATATGCAAAAGAGATATACAAAGTGAGTGAAAGAATATGTATGTTATTTCAAATTACTGAGATTTGGGGATTGTTTGTTGCTGCAACGTAACTTCACTGATACCAAATTAAAATGCTATTCTTCCACAGAAAAGAAATAGTGAGATAACTAAGCATCCTGACAAAGGTTAGTCTTATCTAAAACAGAAGAAATTTGAACTCTATTATATGAAAGCATATATATGATTTGTAGATATAAATACAATTGACAGTCATTTTTTAAGCTGACTTTTCTCCCACCCAGCTTACAAAAACTGCTTAAAGCTGTTAGATAATCTGAAATCTCCCAAATTGCAAAGAAAAATGAAGTTCTACCATTTTGACCCATTTTTCAAAATCATTTGCAGGGTCACATTTCTTCAAGGGCATTAATCAAATGCAGAACTTCAAAGGGGCTTCATTCTGAGCCACCCAACAATTAACCAGCTGCTGTGGCTCCTGTCACCGAAGGGGGACAGGCTAACCCAAGGGGAGATGACCAAAAGAAGGGAAGCAAGAGAGGAAGCTGAACAGGAATGGAAAGGTCACCCACCCTCTCTCATTTCCAAGCTTGTGACACCTGAGCCTGTGTTTGTTTAACGAATAATGCAAATATCCCATACCTGATTGACTTCCTCTGTGTTATAACCATAAGAGATGGTTTTGTGTCTGCAGTGCATATTGGAATATTATGCTCAAACTGGGACCCATAAACCTGATCACACATGGAATAACTACAACCTGTATAAAGATTTTCCCCTTGAAATTGTGTGATTCTGGAAGGTTTCCTTTTTCATTGCAGAAAAGAATTGCTTGAGTTTCTCATTTAAGTAAAGAAAAAAAAAAATCCGTCGGTTTTCAATTTACAGAGCTTTTAACTGGTGAGTCAGGGAAAGATGATGTCATGTGTTAGCCTGCAATCGCTGGTGCAGTTCTCTCCGTGGGCTCAAGCCATTCCTGTCCCCCTAATTTCCGTGGCAGACAGGACTCCCCAGGTTCCATCCTTTCGGCTACTTCCAAGCCAGCCGCAAGCCAGCAGCCTCGCTAGCAGGAGATGCAACAGGAAGTCTGACAACTTAAGTTTGCAGCGGGACCCCTAGTGTTTTCCCACTCCACGTCCTGGCCTGGTTCCCCAGAAGTACAAACACACGCACAGAGCTGCCATTGTGCCGCCTTCCCCAGCCCACTGCTCCTAATATGGAATGCAGCAGGAAACCCACGATTTCCTGACCCTCGGCAAGCCGGAGGAAGCGAGGGGGGAAACTCCATTTAAAGGCCCTCCTTTCCTCCATGTTAGCTGGGCAGGGGAAAACGGGAGGGAGTTAGCCAAACCCCACCGTGTCTCCAGCCAGGCTGGAGATGGGGAGGGCAGAGTGAGACTCTCACAGGCTGCTGAAATTTCTAGGCTGCCAGGAAGTCCCGTGAAGTCTGTGAAAAAGAGTTTCCTAACTCAAAGGAAAAGGGGAAAAGACCAGACCCCCTCTCATAACCCCCTTCCAAGTGTGCGCTACCTTTCTTTTCCAGTATGGGACGCATCAAGGCTTGGATAAGTCTGGGACCTGCCTGGGAGAGGCAACGGAGCCCAAGACAGGCAGCGTGAGCCCCAGCCTGGTGCCCTGGAAAGCAGCAGCAGCCACCGCTGGAGGGACCAAAATGAACTGCCGAGAGAGCAATGACAGCAGATGCGGCTGCGGCGGCAGCGAGGAGAACAAGATGCTCAAATGTGTGGTGGTCGGTGACGGTGCGGTGGGGAAGACCTGCCTGCTGATGAGCTACGCCAACGACGCCTTCCCCGAGGAGTATGTGCCCACTGTATTCGACCACTATGCAGGTAAGAAAAAGGGGGGACGAATTCTTTCCAGATGAACGGCGTGGGGGAGGGGAGCACGCCCCAAGTTCAGAGGGGCCTGGCTCAGCTGGAAAGTCAGAGCTGGGTGTGGGCCTGGCAGAAAGCAGGTAGCTCAGCCGGCGCTCAGACCGCACACAGCCAAGGCCTGTGCTGGGGTTGTGGGGGAGAACCTGTGCGTCAATTCGCATGGCAATACCTTACTCCTTCAAAGTAAGAGAGTCATCTGGGGAAACACCCCAAGCTGCCCTGCAGTTTTGGGTGCCAGAGACTTTCCTCAACATTTGCCTTAAGTTTCCTCAACTTTTCACTGAGATCATTTTTTAAGTGTAGGGTAGTTGCCCAACATTTCTTTGCTATTAAAAAAACATCGCTCTAGACACATGAAGTTCGAGAAAGAACTTTTCTTGTCACATTTGATCAATTTCAGAATGCCATTCATAAATGAAAATGTTGATTAGTAACTAAAACACTCATTTTTTTCTGGACTACTTGGGGCTTGAATATTCCACTTTCACTTTTCTAGAGTGGCAAATGGGGAGAAAAGTGATCCAAGCTTTTAAATATTAAGGGATCTGTATCTTCAACTAAAAGATTGATATGTTTTTAAAAGTAAAAATTCAAGTACAAATGAAATCATTTTAAAGTATTCCCTAAAAAGATAAAATTGAATGTAAACAGTTTTAAGTCATAACAGTTTAGATGCTGCAGTTACAACCTCATTCTGTCAGAGCCTTGCAGTTTTGGGGTATTTGAAAGTTTGTAGTTCTTGTCAGCATCATTGGATGTTTCCCATTTGGGCTATGACTTCTTTTAAGTTTCTCCTGTACAAATGCATGAGCTTCTTTAAGCTTTCGATAGCCTGGTTTTCTGAACACAGTGATGGGCATGCTGAGTTATCAGGGATTTGGGGTCTGCTGGGAGGAAAGTTTTTCCCTCTTAACTTGGGATCGGGATCAGCCAAAGGAAGCAGCCCACAGGAAACCAGCCTGGGTGTTTGCTCTGCGGCCATTGAGATCCTCCTCAGATGGGAAGTGGCTCCTTCTCCAGGATTAGACAACACCCTCCATCTTCCCTTCCTTTTATGTGTACATGGTTTTTGATAGTGTTACCCAGCAAAAAGGGAGATCCACTGTTCCTGAAAATATAGTGTGTAGTCCCAGGGAAGAGAATGGAACAAATATAAAATCTAAACAGACTTTCATCTTCTGGAAAAAAAAATTAATTATAAAATGCAGAGCATTATACCTTGAGAAAGTGATTCCTATTCTGGTCCCCAAAACATGTGGCAGAAGTTACTTAATCTACATCTTCCTTTTAGCAAGAAAGGAAAGCAGCTAGTACTTTATTTCAAGAATAAAGATTAAAGATGAAACTGAAAATCTACTAAAAGGAGAGGCTTCAAATGCCTGGGAAATTACATCTCCAAATATCCATTCTCAGGTGAACCAATTGCAGTCATGTTGGGAAGAAATTGTAAAACCATCTTTGAAACTAAAGTTAATTTATTAAGAAAAATTTATTAGAGATCAAGCCAGCTAGATTTCACTAGGATTTAATTGTTTTACATTTCACTTATATGCACTCACTGGTTTTTGAGAATCAAAATTTCTCAAAAAAGTTTTAATATTTTAGTTTCCAAGAGCTAAACTACATTATTTTATTTCCCAAGAAATCATAAGTCTCTATACATAGAGTGGCTCTTCACACACAGTAGGCCTTCCTGAACAGAGTGGCCTCGGTTTATATTGTGTACTCCTTTACATACATGATCGTCTCATGTGCCATCAGTGGGGATAAAAGAGAAAGGAACACAGGAGCCCCATCAACACTAGAGACTAGTGATATGGTCATTTTCATCCCAAAGACTCCAGCTTCTTTTGCCTCCAGCCACTTCCAGCATGCTCTGGCTGACCATCCATCTGTAGGTGGCCACCAGGGAATCAGCTCTAAAGTAACCAAATGCCCTTCTCCCCATATGGATCTAGTTTTCAGTTCCCTGGATCCTACTGACCCACTCTTAGGTGATAGCCTGCAATTCAACTTCTAAGTCTTTAGAAAAGTGAAGTTGAAGTGTAACCCTGTCTCTTGAGAACTGCTCACTAATAACTGTCCATCCAGGAAAGTGTATATGTCATAGTGAGGACAGTAGTGCAATGATGGCACATAATCCACTTCTGATACTGTCTCAGTCATTTATTCTGTGGCTCTGAGAACCTTCTCTATGCCTCAGTTCTGGAAAATGAAAAACAGAGACAATAAAGGCTTTGAGTTGTCTGTAAGAGCAATATGAATTCATACATGTGAAGCTCCTAGGACCACACATGCAATGGTTAGAAGTGGGGTCAGCTAGCATTATTGAGGTCCGTACAATTGCACACAATGATGAAAACTGAATTAAAATTTATTAAAAGAACTATAATAAGCCAGGCATGGTGGCACACACCTGTAATCCCAGCACTTGGGAGGCAGAGGTAGAAGCAGACAAATCTCTGTGAGTTCAAGTCCAGCCTGGTTGACATAACGAGTTCCAGGCCAGCTGGAGCTACAGGAAGACCCTGGCTCAAACAGACCAAAAAGGAAAAAAAAAAAAAGAACTATAACAAGGGAAATGCAATTCCAACAGTATGCTATAGAAGGTTACAGTGGGTTAGAGTATATTATCGTCCTTATAAAATAACTACCATGCTTATTGAGACTCAACAGCTATTCCACAATAGTAACAGAGCATTAAATAGAGAGGAGAAATACTAGTTTTACATAAGTGATGGCAGAAGAAAAGGAAAAACAGCCAACTAGGGGCCAGGGAGATGACTCAGTGGTTAAGAGCACCTGTTGCTCTTACAGAGGCTCTGAGTCTAGTCCCAGGCACCCATGTCAGACAGCTCACCTGTAGCTCCAGCTCCGGGAGGAGCCGATGCTTCCGGCTTCTGTGGCCACCAGCCCTCATATGCACTCAGGCACACACATACATACTTTAAATAATAAAAATCAGTATTTCTAATTGATTAATACTGTTGTATTAATCCTGATTTTATCCCTTCTTCCTAAATACCAGAATCTGGAAACACACCAACTCCACACAGCTTTCCTGGACTCCCTGAGGAAAGCTCCTTGGTCTGTGTCCAGTCCACCTCCAGAAATAAAATCCACATCTCTAGAGCACATCCCGCACTATGGTACGGTGATTTGTGAGCTTCCTCCTCCCCACTCCCATCGCTCACTGTGCATGAGCTGCTTAGAGGAAGGTCATTCCTTGCCACACCCAGTCCTCATCTTGCTCTGAGAGAACCCTTTATGATGCTTTACTCTCCTCACACGCCTTCTTAAAACACATTCTTCACCTGGTTTCCCCAGAGCCACCTTCTCCTGATTTCTGTTCCACTCACTAGCAACAACTCTCTCACCTCTTCTGCTGCCTCCCATGTCTTCTCCCAGGGGCTAAGTGGTAACATACCTCAGGGTTCGGCCTCAGTTCCTCAGAGTTCAGCCTCCGTTCTTTTCTCTATTTTTAGCCTCAGGACCTGGTTGTTGGTATTAGTCTCACAGCTTAAGACATCACTTATATACTGATAACTTCTGTGTTTATGTATGCCCCCCGCAAAGGCCCAGAGCACTTGTCTACCCAATAGCCCATTTGAATAGCTATCTAATGGGCATCTACAACCAAGGTTTTTATTCAGTTCCCCAGTAGCTCTTCCTCCACCCCCACCCCCACTCTTCTCAACATAATAAGATCATCACTGTTCTCTTCCACCCAGTGACAAGAACACTTTGATATTATCCATAACTTCTTTCTTCCTTTGACCCCATCCCTCTCCCTCTCCTTTCAAATCATCAGTTATTATCCTTTGCTCCTACAAATGAGTTCAGCATTCACAATGCGCTATAACCCAAACCTGACCACTTGCCACCACTGATTCTCCTATCCAAAGCACCCTCATCTCTCATCTACACCACTATAGAGACCTCCCAACTCCCTGCTTCCAACTCTGCCCCCTGCTGTGGGATCTCCACACAGCTGGCAGGGGACCATCCACAACCTCAGCTTCTCTAATCCCTTCCCTCAGCACCCTTCCTTTCTCACAGTGTATAAGATGCTCCTTAACTTTATCCCTGTGTCTCTCCCCTCATCTCCTAACACGCTCCTCTTCAGTATTCCTGGTAGAAACACAATAGCCATCTTGCTGTTAATACCTCAAGCACACCAAAGTTTCCTTAAAGACCTGCACTGGCTTTTAGCTTGGCCTGACATCCCCTACCCCAGATCTGCTGTAGTAGTGATGAACCACATGATTTAATGTATGTGGCTATGCATGTGCATATACGTGCACGCGCGCGCACACACACACACACACACACACACACACACACTCTGATCTCTTATTCTACTATATCATACTTCTCCATATTTAACGCTACATGAATGACACTGTATCTATTTTAAGTCCTTTGCTTCTACAAACAGAGCCTGCCATATATTGGTAGATAAGACACTGAGTGAATTCGTTCACATGCATTCATCCTCTTGATCTCTCCAGCATTTAAGTAGTTCCTAGTCCATCAAAACGGAAGGACAAGGCTGAGTTGCAGCTCTACAACAGAATGTCTGCCTCACATGTATGAGCTCTAGACTTGATCCCAAATACTAAAAAAAAAAAAAAAAAAAAAAAAAAAAAAAAAAAAAAGTCTCTGACATATGAATAAATTGCTGGTCTAGTAAATGTTTTTTAATGACCACATAAAAATTGGTTAGATACATTCTTTTAGCTATTTTTCACAGTTTAGATAAGCATTTTATCTCACTCTAACTATGATATAGCAACAATTGTCTTGACCTAAGTGGACAGTGTGGCATCTATTAAATAGTATCACTCCACAGTGTGTAAGTGGCATGGGTTTCCTTATTTGAAGTATTCAAAAGCTAAGCTAAACGTAGGGTGGTCCACTCAAATACTTATACTTCTTACATAGAGAGCATATTC